GAGAACCGATCGCATCGGTTTATGTCATTGCTAATGGTTGGACATATTGGCGGTAGAATTCTGGAACTGTCTGTCAGTTAGAAGGATACAAAGTGACAATATACTCACATACACGAAACGATAGCGACTGATCCACGTCATCCCTTTGCCTGTTCTCCAATATTGACTATGGATGACAACGACTATCGACAAGGATAGTTAGGCGAAGCTGAGCGCGCACGATAGTTCCCCACTCGTTCCCACAAGACTCTGATCTGCAAAGTATATGCTATGTGAAAATCGTGTCAGTGAAAAAAAACGAAATGACAGCTATTTACCGCTGCGACGACTTACTAGCCTCCTGAAAGAAGTTCCGCCAGAGGATGCCAGGGGTTTCTTCTACCGGTATTCCGCAAATCCTGACATTTCTGTCAAGACTGACATGAACAGAAGGTTGATACACGAGAATAAACACGTACTCATGTTTGCGATAGGATTCATCAGAGTATACGGTGGATATCCCTAGGACAGCTTCGAATTAGGATAGGAAGTGGTAGCAAGCTGAGCGTATACCGAAGGTGACTATTACCAACACCTTGAGCGCTTCAAAATCAACACTGACAGTCCACACGCGTGCAAAGAGAGATTAAAGAAGATGGATTCGGTGATAGTCGAAAGTCTCCCTCGTCGAGACTTTTGTCGGAACCTTTGGAAAAATAATTGAACTGAGAAGCAGACACGTCAGTATGTGTGACAGATAATCACCGAAAAGAAATTGACCGTTAGAATATGTCAAGTACTCTTGCTAGTAGCAGAATTCTAGGTTTAAATTGTGAATGGTGCAGAGGGCAAACTTGTGATGAAGTAAACGACAAGAGGACCATTGATGGCAACAAGGAACGGAATAAAGACGCAAGCGGTCCGAACTCTCGTACATTTCCCTCTCTTCCGTTCTTTCTTCCTCTTTTTTTCCGTCTTCCGTCGCCAAAGAAAGTCAAGTAATGAATCAATTCACCAGCAAAGCTCAAGCGGTTTCTTCACCAGCCATGGACGATGACTAACTGTCATCACCTTCCTCATGAGCGCAACACCATGATACTCGCTGACTTTTGAGTTCATTTATAGCGAATGCCTCAGGCTCAAGCACTAGGATCAGGAGAGCCGAGAGGTTTTGAGTCTCAGAATGTGGATTAGTAGTAGGATATGGAGGAGGGTACGAAGGAGCATGAGGGTTTCCGTGAAGGATATGTGAGTCATTTTTGTTAAATAATGTTCTCGACGTTCCTTCTTCATACGTCGCGCCTCCAACATCGGGATGCTCTCCGCCTCCACAGCCTCCTCCTTCATACCTGGAACGCCTAGTGCGTCTGGTACTTGTGTGCAAATTCATCTTTGACAAAGTGATTTCCGCACCCAGCAGGTTCAGCTTCCGCATGTGGATGTGCACGGTGCCTCTAGGTCTACCAACACCACACTCGCATACTGGTACACAGGGACAACAAGGTCAGCAATTCGTTATCTACTCCCTCAACACACACATCCCGCCTCTCGATGGTCCACCGCCGACGCAGCCTGTTTCTGAACACGACGGATACAACGTGAACGCGGATATAGAGAAGTTGAGGGATGCGATGTCGGAAGGTGTCTTCGTGAGTACTTGCTCAGTTGATGCTCCCCTGCTATCATCCTCCCAGTCGTTTTTGACATCTCGAACGACATGTATAAGTACGGGCACCTTATGGATTTTTCATGAACGTATTGACGATTCTTCACCCTCAGGTGTTGAACTCAGACGACGATGTCAAACAGGACGAATTGAGAATAGACGAAACTTCCGGAATGTTTGTGACGGTGGCAATTACACAAAAGGCTGAATTTTGGGAGGCTTTGTAGGACTTTTGATGAAATGTATCAGCGTGTATATGTATTCCTATCGTTACATATGCATGTAGAGACAATTGGTGAGAGACAACTTTGGGAGCATTCCAATATCAAAATAGATGTTGGAATTATTCGCCATGGACCATCTGCTTTTGTTGGAGAGCCGATCGGAAACACTTCGGTATGTATCCTTCTCTGAACGCCTTAGCTTCCAAAGTGCTCCTTGAGGACAAGCTGGACGTATTCTTGGACATCAGTTGTCGTTACAAGGATTCCTTCTCAGAAGGAGATATGATTCACCGAGAAATTGGGGGTAAATAAATCGATTGAGAAATCGTAAATTGTATGGATAGAGGTCAATGAGCGTCTTAATAGTCAACGGAACCTCTTCTCCCAGCACAAGCTCCGCTACTCCAACAGTGCCTTGGTTAGGAATTGCCTGCCCCCATGTTCGTTTTCTATAAAATATCAATGCTTGGTTCATTTCAGTCGCAGTGGTAGACAACGAAGAGCGCTCACTGTCCGCCATAACCTCTGCCCTGATTGGTGCCGGGTACAATCCACTCGGATGATGTACGAACGGGGTAGCGTCAGCCCCAGGAGCCCCATGATCCGAATCTCTTCAAGTCTTTCAACCCTTCCTCGCAAAGTCCTTCGAAACCAACGCGTAAAACCCCAAAGTCGGTCCTCGAGCACCGAAGAGGAGGAGCTACAAAGCTCAAAGACTTTGACAGCACTCTCCAGGATGATGACGTTTCCTTGAGACGCGACCCTTTTGACGTTCAAGTCGTTCGAGAAATTTCAAGCCATCGTCCCGCCGTGAGCTATCTTGACCTCCGCGAACTTGTTGTGATTGCCATTTGAGGATAAGGCGTGTATATTTGAAAGAGGTGTATTGGAGGAAATGGTATCGTGTAGCGAAGGGAAAGAGGAAGAGAGGATGTTGAGCCCGGTCAGGTAGGTAAGAACTAAAGATATAACAGTCAATACGCCCCCACACCTATCCAAATATGACGGACTCACCTTATACAACAACCATGGTCTCCTCCGATTGACGAGTGAGTTTCGTGCTCCGTTTCTCGTCACCAAATAATGTACTCTCTGCTCCGAGAGTATTCAATAGATTACAAGACACGGAGTAATCGAACGATTCTTGCATGTGGTGCGTCCTCGGCGAGAGAAAAGAGCGGTGACGTCGATCAACGTGGTTTGAAGCATGAATAGACATGCACCACTGAACTTCGACATTAGTGACTTGCATTCAACGTTCGGCGTCAGCGGTATTCTTCGTTGAGGCACAATGCCTTCGTCACGACCAGACGTAGTACTAAGATGAAGAAAATGACAAGGAAAAGACATCCTGTGCTATTTGATGAGATCAACGAACAACTTTAGCATGAACCTTACGCGTATGTTGTAGTACTCTCCACTCTGTGAAAGTCGAAAAACACGAACGGAATGACAGTGCGTTGACCGGCAGCCTCTGGATTTCCGTTGACAGAATAGCTCGATCTTGATATTCTTGACCTAGCTTATTCAATGACCCCATGTTTGTTGGCTTCGTTCTAGACCGTGAAGAACATAAGTAGTGGCAGGACATGGATAAACCTTGTAGACGTACGATCTGAAAACACAGATCCTTCCCTCCCACCGCCTGCCCCGATCAAAGATACAGCTCGTCTTCAGAGATCAGTTACCGTCGTCGTTTTCATGCCGAAAATCAAGCGCAATCGTGGCTGAGACTTTTATGTGATTTCGGAGGCCGAGTCGTAGCTAAACCCGGACCAGTGGCACTAGTAGTTCCATGAGAGTTCCGTATCCTTATGGCAAATGTATTGCTAGTAGAAGAGTCGTCTGGGGATGCTACTTGTGAGACGCTTTGGTCGTTGCGGAAGTTAAGCCAAGTCTTTAGCGCCCAGGATCCGTCACCGTTAGGATTTATCACCCAGGTTCTCCCTATTAGATATTTGATCATCCCAGCTCGTGTCTAGGCGATGCAGATTCAATACAGAACAATCAATTCACGAATTTGACACCACGATAAATACTAGCTGCTCATCTACGTTGCTCCATACTATGAACTCATTTTATTTCGATCCACCGTCCGAAATGCGAAAATTTTGGCTGAGGGTCGTCATTAGGAGGGAGTTCGGCTTCGAAGAGCTGATTGTTCAAGCGGAACTGGTGTAGTGTTACTTCAAGTGAGTGGTGATATAGAGACTGCAAATTATTCAAACTCTGATGTTGCATAAGGCCTACCACCATTGAACGTTGATGCGTGTTGGCAAGCTAACTTTCTCAATCTTTCGTCGCCTCATCCTAACTTACGATGTATCAAGTGGCAATCCCGTGGCTTAGGGGTTAGGGGTGGGTGGTCGAAACGTCGAGCGAGCGAAGCGAGCGTTGACGTTGAAGACTGACGTAAGAGGCTCTGGTGCTGTAAGATGGTAAAGGAGGCGATACAAGCCAACGGGTACCGATAACTTATCAGTACCAACCCGTTTCGCCTTTTATATGGCTCATCAGGGCTTGTTCACATGGTCACGATAGATACAGACGATAATCCACACAATCAGTGTGGGATCGTAGTGCCTTATCTTGTGATTATACGTTAGTAAACAGAATAATCCGATTTGCTGTTACCTGGCAGCGTGGGATGTATTTGTTACCTGGGTTCTCGGGTATCAGTCAGCGGCAAGCCCGAGAACCGATCGCATCGGTTTATGTCATTGCTAATTACTCTCTTCTGAGCAGCGTTGACACTAATTGGGGAAAAATTACTTGCTATAAAAGTTATATCCCCACGTAGAGCTATCTCATAGCAGTAATCCTACACTATTTCCAGCCAATATAATTATAATTTGCACCCTCTACAGGTGAATTGGTACGAGCAGGAGTGGGCGCCTAATTCATTCCCACACTCGACTTTGACTTCTGCTTTGACCTCGACTTCGACTTTCACTTCGACTTCGACTTCTGCTTCGACTTCGACTTCGACTTCGACTTCGACTTCGACTTCGACTTCGACTTCGACTTCGACTTCGACTTTCACTTCGACTTTCACTTCGACTTCGACTTTGACTTTCACTTCGACTTCGACTTTCAACTTTCTATGTAACAACATGACTTCAACATGTATAGCCTCAATAGCTCAGTGGTAGAGCGCTTGATATGTGTAGCCCGACCGATGTCATATACATATCAAAATGCCAGGGTTCAAATCCCTGTTGAGGCTATAAACTAATTTGTTGTTGGTGAAATATTTTTGGCATCAATGGGACCTTGTCACAGTCTTCCTGTATCTGTCCAGCTGATTTAACCATTGAGCTACAGTAGAAGGTTAATTTAACCTTGATTTAGCACTCAAAGTCAAAGTCAGAGTGCCCAAAGTTGAAGGAGCGCCCAAAGTCGAAGTCGAGCTCGACTTTGACTTGGCGCTTAGAGTTAACGCCCAAAGTCGAAGTCGAGCTCGACTTCGACTTGGCGCTTAGAGTTAGCGCCCAAAGTCGAAGTGAAACTTAAACTCGACTTTCAGCTCAGTAAGCATTCAAAGGAGATACCCGGTGAACTTGGTACATCAAGTAATGTGGGTATGGCATAGAGTGTACAGAATAATACTATAGTAAAATAGATTCAACCCAGTAGAGCACCCCTTTTCAAAGCCTGTACAATACCTTTGGGTATTGCGCCTCGACTATCCTTCCCCATCATCATTAAACCACACATGCCTTCCTGTACTTCGTTGACTATAAATCTGTAGCGTGCTTCAGATGGCACCCGGTCATCCCAAATGATGCCAACATCAATTCGGCACAGTAAACGCAGGCTGGCAATAGATGGTTGAAAAGACGTAGGATGATCAACTCCGCGGTAGAGAATATCTTCCAGTTGAATTAACCGATAATAAATCTTGCTAATAAAATCGAGGAGTTGATCCGTTCCAGACTTGCCATTCTGTCCTACACGTCCAACTGGGCCATCCCTATGGTACCACAAACGTTCCGGGTTGCTGTGGCTCTCCCAGGAAGTAGGACCTGGTCTACAAGAAGGTCTATCATTTAGATGCATAATCAGAATAAAGGTTACTCACTGTATTTCCTCCACAGGAGTTAAAAAGCCATAGCAGTGTTCTGCTGATGTTAACTTCCAGTGATCTGCGCCTTTGTAATATTCGTCTAGCCCGGGCTGGGGTTGGGTATGGACCATTTGAAGCAATTCTCCAAAGGCGATATAGACTCGAACCTCACCCCGTAAGATGAGAGCAGGGTTGTAACGTATAGCGTAGAAAAGGCGGGCGGGATGGTATGACTTAAAGTCCTTTACGAATTTCTCCACGCTGTCCGTTGTCCTGTAAACGTATTTACCTTCATCGCTATACTCCATCTTGATGATCCACTCTCCGCTTTCAAGAAATGTTTGACCTAGGGTTGTAGAGGTGACTCTAACTGGAGCCTCGGCTAAACCTCCTGCTTTCTCGATAATAGGCGCGAGAAGACCGTGAAGCGCAAACTTTTTTCGGGTGAAATGATCCACTTCTGATTCAGGCCAGATTCTAATGCCCATAGCTGTGAGTACTTTGATAGTTTCTCTTAGATTACCCGAATATATATTCTGGGGGGGAATGCTCGATGGACTGGAATATATTTTAGACATCTCATGAAAGAATGCAATAGAATGACTTACTGAAGATCGGCTCGGCCAATAACTAGGTCTATGCTCGTTAGTAACCCCCAATGTTTACTGAGCTCCCGTTTTTCCAGACACTCTAAGAAATCATCATTATCTATGAATGCAACCTGTACCCCAGCATCGTTCAATTCCAAGGCTAGCGTGATCTAAGCTATATCAGTAAACCTGAGTGAAATATACAATAATATGATTTACTCACCCATTCAAACAAGTAGATATCACACCGCTTCAAGCCCAAGCTGTGATCGACCCACATATAGTGCTGAAGGGTCGTTGACCGTTCCAGCAAACGAAGAAACTGCACTCTGCGCGGAGATACGAGGTCCCATTGAATTATACACCAATAAAAGTTGGCTACCATCGCCTCATCGGCGGATTTTAAGTTTTTCAGAGGTTTTTTGGCTGCCTGAATTTTGCTGAGCACAAAAAGAACCCGTTTAGGCAGTTCTTTTCCCTCAGAATTCCAGGTTGACTGGAGAGGTCTGAGGTTCTCAGGTTCTGGCATTTTGAATGTATATGTCTGCTGAAATAGCGAAGACGACGTGGAGGCAGGGGGGATAGGGGCGTTAGACCCGGAGCCAGATGCGTTCGAAGAGCCAGATGCGTTCGAAGAGGTAGAAGGAGCGGGAGCGGTAAGTATTAATGGAGACGACGGGGTAAACGGGACGGGCGGGGCAGCAGTGGTGGATGCAGGGGAATAGGGGCGGCGGGGCAGCAGTGGTGGATGCAGGGGGAATAGGGGCGTTAGATCCAGAGCCAGACGCGTTCGAAGAGGAAGGGGGAGCAGGAGCGGGAAAAGGAACCGTCAACGGGGACGTACTGGGAGCAGAAAGAATAAGCGGGGTGTTCGAAATTTGGGTTCCCGGACCAAACGCCGGATTTCCAGCTTTCGCAGCTTGGAGATCAAAATGCCGGATGTTCTGATTGAGGTGAGTAGGGATATCCTCGTACTGACGCGGGAACTGAGCCCAAGCGGCAGTATGGGGAGGCCCAAGAGCTCCGTCTGAGAATGCGGAATCTGCAAACTTTGGAAAAGTTGGTGCCGCGTTGAAAAGGCCCAGCCAGGCACCATGAAAAACATGACCCCCCTGAACGCGCTCGTACCACTGAAGCATTGCTTTGTTCTTAACTTCACTGCTATGAAACGCCTGAGAGTACATAATTGTCGCACGATATTTTTCTGCGATGGTAGCGTCCCGCAAACCTTCGATCCCCCTCCTGCTTAGACCGAATTCCGGACATGCTTGAGAACAATTTGGATGTTTGCCGGACTTGGTGTGCTCGTTGCCTCGAGTGCTCACATTTCTGACAAAGGAAAAAACCCATCTTAGAGTCCCACCTGGTTGATTTGCTCTAGGATGGGGGCATGTATGCCTGCAAACTAGAAAGCAGTCAGGATCTTGACTCCAGTCATTGGACAAGGGAGTAGGAGCAACAGTGGTGGGAGCAGCAGTAGCAGGTGCTGTTTGAGGTCCAGTAGGAGCCTGGGTTGCAGAGGAAGCTTGAGACATAGTAGATAATGTTTATGAGGGCTTATAAGAGGTCCTCCAATTGGATTTGGATCCTTAGTGGGGGGAGAATAGAGCACGAAGTTAATGTGGGTGATAAAATCGAAAATTTTGAAGTCCATTAGCGCCCAAAGTCGAGTTGACTCGACTTTGGGCGCTAACATCAAACTTCCCACGGATACTGCCGAGGCGGAGCCGGGATCCGAAAGTCGAGCTGTGTTTCGACTTTCGGGGATCTCGGTCAAAGTCGAGACCCAGCTCGACTTTCGGGGACCTCGGGCCAAAGTCGAGGCACACTTCGACTTTCGGGGATCTCGGGCCAAAGTCGAGGCACACTTCGACTTTCGGGGATCTCGGCCAAAGTCGAGACCCAGCTCGACTTTCGGGGACCTCGGGCCAAAGTCGAGGCACACTTCGACTTTCGGGGATCTCGGGCCAAAGTCGAGGCACACTTCGACTTTCGGGGATCTCGGCCTAAAGTCGACTTCGGTTACATCCGTGGACGTGTCCGTGTGAAAGTCCCACTTTGACTTTGAGCGCTTAACGCCTTTGTCCATCAACCACCACCACTACGTTTACTCCTGCATCATGGCCTCAACCTCACGTAACGATCCCGCCGCACGCAGCGATGACGACGATATGGAGGTCGATCCCTCCTCCAGGTGAGTTTCAACTCTTTTTGTACATTTTTTTGCCGCTGAACCGGCGAAGTGGAGCAAGCGGCACAAGGCACAAGGCAGCTCGGCTTAGGGTTCTCTCATCAGATGAGGAGGGGGATGCCCCTTTGCCGAAGAAAGCGCGTTCAGCCATTGAGCCGAACTCAGTTGAATTTCACCAAGTAATCAGAAAGGGGGTGGTCATCAAGGAGACCTTCAGATATCTGGAGTCGGACGAGGATTTTGATAAGCGGATAGAGGAGGAAACAAAGGTCAAAACTGAGGAATCTATCCGATGGCGCAACTCTTTGCTAGAGCACACGAAGAAAAAGCTCAAGGAAAATCCAACAAAGGGAATTCAAGATCATACAAAGCGGAGGTTGCTATTATTCAGTACAATGTTTTTTTTCTAATCGAATACTTCAGGTACTCATTTCAAGATTTTAGAAAACGTCGAGGCCATTCTGGATAACTACTGCCAGCCCGATGACAGTATACCCGACAAGATGTGCTTTTTTACCCCGGAGGATTTAGAGAAATTAGAAAATATTCATACTTGTTTGGACGGTAAGTTTTTCATTATCTGGAATGAGTTTAGACTATATTTACTGACCTTTATTTCGTTAGAGGAACCTCAGGATGAAGATGTACTTATGGATGGTTAGTATACATTTCTTAGGGGTTTCCTCCCATTTAATACCTTTGTGATGTTTTTTATACCTTTGTGATGTTTTTTATACCTTTGTGATGTTTTTTGTGGCTTGGATTGATTGTATTCAACAAAATCCCCCCTAATTTTGATATAGTGGATACTATACACAACACCCCAGAGACAGGTACTTACATATTTTCCTTGGGCTCCTGAGCATGCAGAACTAATTTTGTCGTCTCATAGCTTTCCTTCTCTTGCAATCTGATGAACCTATGTTGAACAACGAACTGGATGGTTTGACTGAAGATGATGACGACGACTTTTTGCAACTGCCACCACTCGATTCTCCACCATCACCTCCTCCTAGCAATGGTGAGATTGGTTCTTTAAATGAAACTCATGGGAGATAAATAAACCTGAATTATCAATACAGGCCCTTCATTGGTGGATTTGCCAGAAGGTGTGCCTTGTGTTAATGTTCATTGGGTGTATATGTTACCCCTTCCTCCAGGAATGGTTCAGAGGTCATCCATATTGGCTGAGTCCCTAACTGGACATGAAATGTTTACGGATGAACCAAGGTCTGCAATCCCAAAGGAATGGATCCATGTACCAAAGGATGCTTCCAAAGATGAAACTAAACAAACTGGGACAGATAAGACTGCAAGTTTTCTCTCCCTTCATTCTTGGTAAATTTGAATTCATGGGTCAATCAGAAATCACCTGAACC